GACCAAAAATCCGCGGCTCTATAGGACCAAAAATGTGCGGTGTTATTATATGTTCAGTCAAGTGTCTTTGTTTTTTAGTGTTTATTTTCAATGTCTCGGTTGAACAAAAATCCGCGGCTCGAAAGGACCAAAAATCCGCGGCTCGATAGGACCAAAAATGTGCGGTGTTATTATAATAAAGAGTAAAAGGTCGAGGGTTTTGGTATAAAAGAGGTTTAATTTATGAGAGAAATAATGAGTACATGTTGTTATGAGAGGTGATTCGCGATGAATGAATCCAACAATGGATAATGGTCATATGATGGGATGTTAAATACAAAGACATTTAAAATTAATACTAAAAAACAAAGACACTTGACTGAACATACCACCCCCTTTGAACCAACAAGGTTCAACAAAAGAGAAATTGAAAAAATATAAAATTTGTATGAGAATTGACCAGAGTGGGTTGAAAAATTATTTAAAGAATGCAGCTTAATGGTATGAAGACACTTTGAATGATGGTCTTGAATGAGGATCCAGCTGGTCTGTAGCTATGAGGAGCTGGTGTGTTTTAGCAATCAGAGTCTACACATTGAGATTTTCTTTCTTGAGGTTCCACTTGAAACAACGCTGATGAGGGGTCTTAAAATATTCTTGACTCCAACGGCAGCATAGGCTTTGGGTGATGTCTTGAGGTAAATTATCAATAAGAGGTGAGATCTTTGTTGGGTCAGGAACAGTTGTCAGAGAAGAGTTGATAAGAAAATGGCCAGGAGTTACAGCTGTCAGTTTCGAAGGTTTTGAGTTTGCTATTGCTTCTTTTTGTTCTTGGTTGGAGTGATTTTTGTTATCAGCCATAGGCTTAGTAGGCTTCAAAAAATTAAGGAGTGTGTGATGAAGTTTCAAACAGGTCTTACAAGTATTAGTAGACTTGCAGCGTTTAGCAAAGTGATTACCAAGACAATTTGTGCAGCGTTTTAAGTCGCGTACAACTTTAAGTCTTTCTTGAGGGGTTTTACTATTAAAGACAGGGCAACTGTATATTTTGTGATTTTTATGGCAGCAAAAACATTTCAAATCATTTGAAGTACATATCAAAGCCATAGGAGGATGTTGAAACTGAAATGATTCATCAATTTGACGTGGAACTTGGTGAGGGTTGGATATTTGGAGAGGAGCTACTTGTGGAGCGTGACAGAGAGATGCATCTTCACTGTTGTTACAAAAGTCTTTAAGAAATTTAATTATTTCACTAGCTTCAGGAAAATCAGACGAATTTATGCGTTTTGATTCAAAAACTTGACAGAGGTTGGAATTCATTTTTCGTAAGATCAACATACTTAGTAGGTAGTTGTCTTCCATGACATTATAGTCAAGAACACTAAGAGCTTGTTCATTTTCATTAAACTCATTTAAAAATGATCTGAGGTTTTTGATAGATTTGTCAGTAATATTGGGCAAATCGACAATTTTACTGAGGTGGACAGAGATTAGCCTACGCTTCGAGTGGTATCTTTCCCGTAAAGCATTATAGGCTACTGTATAGTTGCAAGACGAGATCGGCAAGGATTTGGTTAAGTGTAAGGCTTCGCCTTCAAGTGAACTTATCAAGTACTGGTGTTTTTCAACAAGGGATAAGCTACTGTTGTGGATAGTAGTATCAAAAAGGTTAATGTAGGATATCCATGTTTTAGTGTCACCATTGAAGGACTTCAGTTCTAGCTTAGGCAATTTTACTATGCTAGTAGTAGGCCTAGAGGTTGGGTTTGATGTTACCGAGTTAATTGACAAGTGTTCATCATTAGAGTTCTGAATAAGAAGAGAAATTTCAGTTTGAATGTTAATTGAGAGTTCTGATATGTCGTTCTGGAGCTTTGAAATAGCTTCTTCATTGTCAGAAAAAAACGTTAGTGTCGTCATCAACATCAAGAAGCTTATCTAGGTTAGATTCAAAATTGGCAGAAATTGTTTTAGCTTCGTGCAAATAAAGGTTAAGTTTAGTGGTTTGAGCTTCTGTTATTTCTGATGGACATGATTGAATATACTCACTAATCGTATTTAATTTATTTAATTGCAATTTGCATCTATTAGAAAATGTGGAAAATCTCATTTTGGAAGTTAGGCCTAGATCGTTCAATGAGTTCAGTAAATAGTCTAGATATTGTAAATGGATGGAGTAATTTGAGGATAAGGACTGAGGAATAAAATCAGGGTTTCTTTATTATTTTCTTGTAGGTATTGATAACTTACGATGAGATGCGGTGCGTTGTCTTCGAAGTACAAACATAACCTTACTTTTGAGTTTCTTGACGTTTGACGTTGCGAAGCGATGTAGACGAAACGAAGTCGAAGTGATGAATGCGGAGCGGAACTAGCAGAACAGTAGAACGATGACGATGTTGAACACTTGGAATGAGAGGAGTGTGGACTGTATCGTGACGTAGACGTAAAGTTCAAAATGGCGATGCGGTGTCCTTGGCGGCTTCACGTTGGATGAAATGCGTTCATCCGAGACATTTAAATTAACTTGAAAAAAGTCGCACTAATGTTCGTAGATATAATCCGCGGCTCGATAGGACCAAGAATCCGTGGCTCGAAAGGACCAAAAATGTGCGGCTCGAAAGGACCAAAAATCCGCGGCTCGAAAGGACCAAAAATCCGCGGCTCGATAGGACCAAAAATTTGCGGTGTTATTATAATAAAGAGTAAAAGGTCGAGGGTTTTGGTATAAAAGAGGTTTAATTTATGAGAGAAATAATGAGTACATGTTGTTATGAGAGGTGATTCGCGATGAATGAATCCAACAATGGATAATGGTCATATGATGGGATGTTAAATACAAAGACATTTAAAATTAATACTAAAAAACAAAGACACTTGACTGAACACTATAAGTTATACAAATTGCAAGAGTTTTAAGCAAACGCAAGGTGAACAATCAACATAAAAATTATATTTTATAAGGGGTTTCAATGATTAAAAATCAATAGCTTCAGTATTGTTTATGTGTTTTATATGTTTAAGACTCAAAATAATCAGTAAACTATAGGCTTTAATTTGAGCTATTGATCGTTTCATTTAGTTATGTTCAAGATACTGTATTACTCAATCAAAAATCATAATATTAATTATTTCTCGGATATGATATTTACTTCAACACTGCAGAGAAGCATGGGTCCTCTAGTTAGCATATGAATGTTGTGGGTTTTTTAAGAACAGAACCACGTGTTTTAATGTGAACAAAGTGTATGTGTTTACATGGTAATACATACAGCTTTGTAAATAATAGTGTCTTAGTTGATATTTTTTATGTGACTGTCTTACTTGAGAAAAACTGAATTTTTAAATATAAGCTTTTATAAAAAAAAGTGATGAATTATTTTGAATGAAAACCATACACGTTAACAAAATTTACATATCATCTATACGCTGGTTTCCTAGAATGATTGTGGATTTCATGATGTTTGAAATGCCGCTACGTAGACTATAGTTCCATCTTGTCAAGATCAACAAGGACGACTAGGAAGCACAGCAATTTTAGTCAAAACTCGACGGCTTAATCTTTGTCTTCGATCACCTTCCGATTGATTATACAAATTATTAGCATGTAACAAATGGGTTATGGTTTTAAACGCTTGAATCAATGCAAATGTGAATGTTAATAAACTTTTGTAACGATAAAATATTTAGTGTTTTCACTTATATACTCACCATCACATAAAGCCCTCTTATGCAGTTATTAGTAGCCAATAGCCAAAATGGTAGAATCCGAAACTATAACGGGTTGATTTCTAGGTTATAACTGTACCACCCTGTTTCAGAATAAGTGACTAACTCTTGGGTTTAAACTTAATAATATAATGTAAATGCAGGTCTCCAAAAATGCCTAAAATTACATCTCTGAGTTCTTTAACCCCCTTTATTTAGAAAAAACTTGTAGCTAATGTAATTACACCAATATTTTATCTTTACACAAATGTTCTCTTCACTTAAAATTGTAGGTAAAAATAATTATGAAGCTCAATGGTGAAGGTCAATAACAATCCTTATATATAATACGTGAAAGCGATTTCTACTAAACACTACTCCTCTGTTAATAATGGACGGATTTTTACAAACGATGTGTCAAAATTAATTACTTTATGTGAAGACGCCCCCTTTCACCAATATGTGTAGTAAAAGTCCTCGGGCTTTGCCCCACAGGCCATTAAAACCCCAATGTATTTCTTTTGAAGAACATTTACTAACACAGCTGTTTAAATCTTACTTCATTAGTGGAAAATTGTCATGTGTCAAGATATTTTGCATCATGTGTACATGTTATTCGTTGAATATAACCAAACAGCACACGGTTTAATAAAGCAAGTATTGGGTCAAATACAAATAAAGATCAGAATTCAATAATATTTTCCGTGGATTTTTAAAAACCGAATTATTTTCTCCTGTATTCTCACCCTGTAGCGAAGCACGGGCAGAGCAACTAGTCCTTACATATAATACGTGAAGGCGATTTCTACGAAACACTATGAAATTGCTCGAATTCGAGCAACAGGTGTACTAATATATATGAAACACTGATGACTCCGCTCAATTTTGTGGATGCCTCTGCAAACGCCACCTAGTTAATTTACACTAATACTGTTTACTCACAAGACGTTAAATACAAATAAATACATCATCAGACCCAATGCGCGAAACATTTCAGTGAGTAAACAGTGTAAGTGTAAATATATTATTACAAGTGCTATTTGACATATTTTATACTTTCAGCTAAAAAATATTATCCTATGTTTTCATTTGTAATTAATGTTCTTTTTCTGGCCAACACGGCTTTTTGCTTTGTCGGATCGGCCGTGTTACCGGCTGGCCCGTTTTAACGAGTTTGTACTTAATGATCATTACTAAATGATCATCCCATAGATCAATTGCGGTCTGAATACATGTTTAACAGTGAAATCTATTGAATGACACAAACAATTGTATTGTATTAGTAGAGAGGACACAAACAATGTCCATACCTTATCACCAAAGGTAGGCTGGAATCACCCTCGAGTTCAGATCGCAAGCTATGTAGATTCAACTCACTCTCGGGTATACTTCCTCCACTGTACTTGGGTATACTGACTCGCTTTGTAATGGGTGGCTTGCCCAAGTCATGAGGCATTTTAGTACCTGGATAATCAAAAGAGAGAACGTAATTAGGTTATAAATACAAAGTAGAATTTGTATCCACTGGTGTTTTCTCCCAGTGATCATATATTAAATAAAATTCATACACAAACCAAATTATTCAATGCAACAAATTTATAGATTCGGCAATGTAGTTACTTTACAGTTACAGTGACTAAAGTTGGACTCAGTTAGGGCCTACTAGGATTTTTATGTTCCAAATTTACAAGATTTTACAAGAAATTTACAACTATCTAAAAGTTTATATTATTACTTTTGATTCTAAATATGTTATTCTAAAAAGCACTGTTAATATTGTAAAGAACACAGTTTAGCTATGAAAGGCAGTTACAACTGCTAAAGTTTTCTACAAAAAAAGAAACCTACTGTAAGAGATGACACAGTCAAAGGAGTAAACAAAGTAGTGCGGTGCTCTGTTGTCGTTTTTAATATGTCCAGTTTTTTCTCATTTTTTCATGGAAAGCTATAAGGCTTTAGCTGATGGCTGGCCGAAGAGTTGGCCCTACTCACACAAATACAATGCAAGGGATTAGGACAGACCATTGACCTGTCATGCGAGTCATCACTAACTCACAGCAATTTGACCAAATCTTTTGTATTTTACCCTCTCATAATTGATCTAAAACTATTAATGATAAATAGGACCAAACTGTTGCTAGAAATTACAATTAGTAAATAGGAAACTGTACATTTTGCAGACCCCAAAAATAATGTAAATTGTAAAAATCTTTTCTGGTTTTTTTTATAGATGGTTGAAATATTTCACTAGTTTCAGCTTAGTTCTCATAAATAGAAAGGTAAATTTGTACCTATTTAAAACATTTAAACAATAGGGAATAGAAATTAAATTAGTGGAAGTGATTTCTCCAAACCTTTTGTCAACCTTAACAATCCACTATCCCATATACTTGGCTTAAAATACCTACATTAGTATGGTCGCCATTTCATAAGAAAGTATTAAATTATAAAGTATTTAAGTACAATTTAGAAGATCAAAGCAGTTAAAACTATATTATTTACCCAAGCACATTGTCTTACTAATCTGTCTAAAGGTACGAACAAAGCAGAGCCGGGGTAGACGCGGGTATCTGGGATGGTATTCAGGTACTGTACTCGCTTACTAGCTGAGTACTGGTACCTGGCCAGTATGAGGGGGGCACACGACGCTCTACGCTTACTGACTTATTACCACTCAATATGGAAGGACTTGATGAAATGTTATTGCTCAAAAGCTCTGCTGTTAAGAGTTTTTTTTTTATAGTTGATTAAGACTGAACTGTTCACCCTTTGAATTTAAAAGGCAAGATTTTCATTTATACAAGAAGATGAGAAACCATTTTGACAGGTTTTGTGAATATCTCTATGAAACCTGATACCTTACATGTTGAATTTAGCAGCCTCCAGAATGCAGAAGAATTGGTGGACCTTTCACACCAATCCTGTTAGACAAGAACAACTTGTACAGTACGGTAACTAACATTACTTTACCTAGCCACCTTTACATCCCTATTAATCTAGGATGGGTGCCTATACTGTCAGTAAAATCTCAAAAGGAACTGTAAATGCTTTGTGGAAAGAATTTTATAATAATTTTGACCATCTACAATCCCTGAGCCCATCAGGCAACCAGCCAGGCTCCGCTGTGTGCAGGTATGTTGTCAACCATCCTGGCACTACTTTGTAGGTGGGCCTACTATAATACAGTCCCATTATCATTTTATAAATCCACCCCCTCTGTAAAAACAATTTTAAAAGTTTGCAATCAGAGCAGACCATATTATTCACTTCTCAGACTTGACCCTGAGTTATAAATATTAAATAAAATAATTCCCGCTCATTGGATTGTACTCTCTTGATCCGTTGGTCGGGTTTAGGCCCTTTAATGCGCTGAAGGTTACTATTCAGTGGTAGCCGCTTAGGTTCTATAAGTGCATTGACCAAAATAAATAGGTCCTATTAGATAATGTAAATACAAGTTACACTACATAAATGTAGAGTGTTATTATATTTTTTTTGTTAATCTTTTATGATCACATTACTGTACCTAAACAGAGTCTGCTTATGTGTAGTAATAAACACAATCTAAAAGGTTTTACAAATTATTTTGAGTTTTTACAGGAAAGCAGAAATTGTAGTCACACAACTTAATGTCAACAACACCAGTTATTGACCAATGTGGGCAGGACTCAGTTCCTCTACCACAGTTTCTTTTAAAAAACGCAACCAGGCAAATCATAGGGGAAACTAGCAGGTTGCAAATTGTATGACAATTTAGCAGTTGCTTTTTATAGTGAAACAGCGCAAACCTTTGCTGCTGTTTAATAATGCGACCTCAGTAGTAATTGTTACCTTGTTTTTTTTTTAGTTAACAAGGAAAATAAAAGTAATCGAGATATTTTAACAGTTGTTTACTAGCATCATAGAGTTATTGAAAAGCTATAAACAAATTTTAATACTCATAGTTTGTGAAATAGTAATATGTATACACTAGGCCTATGCCAAACCCAAACAGAATAATACCCAAAAGCCAACTAAAATAATTAATTAATACACACGATTTTGCAGAGGTCTGTGGTCTGTCAGTCCATCAAAGTTTTAAAATGTTAACAAGGACACAAAAATAGAATGTATTACCGTAGGTATGATTTCAGGCCAATATTTTTGCAAACTGTAGATTATACATTTTTAGTCAACATTTACTTTAGACCTACTACTAATTTGTTGATTTTTTTGTTCAATAAACTTGCAATAATTGTTTTCCAATATGGTAACAGTAGTTGATGTATGTACTGTCTGAAATAATGTCACTAAGCCATAAGTATTTTCATCTCTACAAATTCTATATCATTAAGTTTATAAAAACGCTCTTCCTCTCGTATTGCATTAAGATTAAACAAACATTTAAGAGTAATTTTATATTTTTATAAGAACATTAATTAAAAAAAAAAAACAGTTAAATGACAGGGTATGAAATCATACATGTTTTTATGGTTGAGTATGCCTAATAGCACTTTACAACTTATATCAAACTAGCTGATTACCCACAGGCTTCACCCCGTTTTACTTCATAATAAGTAGGCCTATTATTAAAACTATCGATTGGTTAAGCTGAAATTAACAAAACAGAATGCAGTTGTATAGTAATACAAACAATCACACATGATTTTAATAAGGTAATAAATTGAAAGAATAACAAACAAATGTACAGCTGAGGTATTTTTAGCATTAGGTACCGGTAATGGAAAGTTCCCTTTAGAAAGGAATTACAACCTTAAAGGGCAATTTATGAAATAATGGATAGTTAAGCGCAAGGTTTCTTGACATGACGGACATTTTAAGTACTGTATATGGTTTATGGGGGTATGACTTTTAGTTTTCTCGAAAGTTCATGGGTACTTTGGGATTTATATATGGATACGTCTTATTCTAAAGTTAAAAGTTTTGTTAACATGTTCATCTACATATTTTTAAATTAAAACTTTGCAAACAATTAAAAATGCAAACCTAAACAATGTATCCTTTCAAACCATAGCATAACATAATCAAAATAAAAACAGTTAAAATAATAAAGGAAAGCAATTGATTAAGGGGAACAACTATTTTATCTCATTTGTCATTCGATACATCAAGTCTTCTTTCTGTTGTTACATTTTGTCTGATTGTTAAAAAGCTATTTTTAAATGTAGCCTACAGTAGACCCCCTCTTAAGCGACCTTATCGGGACCAGACCAAGGTCGGATAGCTCAAAAGGTCGGTTATTAACAACACTTACCTCCTTTTTTTCTTAAGTATTGACTATAGAAAGCACAAATAAATCCAAAACTCGGTAAAGTCAAATACTTTCAGAGGAATAGATATAGTATATAGTATAGACTTGGTATAGCCTAGTCATAGTCAATAAAAATTCTTATTTTAATTCTTTTTACTAATATCAATTAATGCTTTCCAAATCCATTGTAATACAGTACAGAATATATTTTCAAATTTAAAGATCAGCCTACAAGATGCAAGTATTTGTTGGAAAATATAAAATAACTTATTCTTGGTAGGCCTAGGCTAACATCCTGTAGAGTTTAGCGTGTTGATATTGTGACCATCACCAAGCGTGGGAGCGGAATGCTGAGATTCCTAGAAAGTGGCGTTTAAACCCAACTGCTCACAAAACAAGGTCGGTCAATTAAAACAAAATATAATATTTTGCGAGGGCAGATAGTCTGATTATTGGTTAATGTGAGGCTGATTAAGAGGGTGTCTACTGTAATGGAGTAGGCACCTAAACTATTGGTAGGTGTATACAGTAGTAGGGCCTACCAGTACTGTAGGCCAATGTTAAAAATATACAATAGGCTACACGTAACAATAAAATTACATAGAAGTTTGTAAAGAAAAAAAATAAGTTTGATTAAAGCAATTGAGATTGTATAGACCTCTACAAACTGTGTTTACTAGGATAGGTCCTTAACCATACACTTTAATCTCTGCTTCAACAGCAGTTTTAAGAAGTTCATTACAGTGCTCTTGATCAATTTTATTCTCCTCAACAGCTTGCAGCAGAGCTGATGTATTTCCAACTAGAGTCTTCTCGACTTCTTTTAATATTTTTACAGTTGTTTCATCATAATAAGCTTTCTTGTGTAGTTTGTACAGTTGATGCTGGCGATCTACCTTGAATTGAAATCTTGGCTTAGCTTTGGCTGGATCTTGAGTAAATGCTGGACTTATAATTTCGGGAGGTATAGTTGGTTTTGAAGTGAAGACAAATGGTTTAAAAACACTGACAGAAGGGTCTGGAGTCGCTGTCACCCAGTGACAAGAAGGTTTTTTACTTTCAGAGCTACTTAACACTGACACCCAACTTCCTGAAGTGTGGAACGGATCATCTGCAGGTCTACAAATGCCTGAATCTTTGTTACGAAGGACTTGAAACATCTTTTCTGTGTCAAACTGTTTATCAGAAGACAAATTGCGAAGAATATTCCGGCCGGCTTCTTCTCTGTTGCATCCCTGACTGGAAAGTACACTTTTGAAATCAAACTCTCCCTCTCCTGACCACAATTTTTCTTCTTTAACATATTTTAAGAGGTCTTTAGACATGGCAGAAATATTAGTCCCTATGCTTAAACAGTTGGATATGTTTTTAGGACCAGACTTAATTTTCTCTGCTGCCCACAACTTGCCAGCTGTTTCTAAAACCCAGGCTTCTTTCTTGTCTGCAATGAGAAAAGAGTTGTGATATAATAACTGAGTGTCTGTATCAGAACACGGTCCACCTTGGCCATATTGTTCTAACAACTCTGTAATAACACCTACAGCCTCGCTGCCAGTTGTAGCCCTTTCAAGTCCAAGCCTCAAAAGATCCATTCCAAGAAGTCTCTCGGTTTTCATATTATCATCTACTTCAGTCCAGACAGCTTCGTTACCAATGACTACCCCATGATTATTTGATCCCATTTCTGCCCCCCACATCCAAGATGGCTTGCTCAGAAGGACAGCATTAGTTGTACGGTAGTTGATTGATCAATTTCTATATAAGTACATTGCAGTTTAGATCCCGATTGACATTTTTTGTGTGGGTAGTATACAACTTCTTGAACCTCTCCATATGGTCTATCTGAGTTTTTACCAAAGATTATATCTCCATGTTTGGTTAAAGGTGGAAGAACAACAAACGTATCACATCCATAAAGATTCATTGTGTTAGCTTAACCTCAAAAATTATCAAATCGGTCAGGTATGAAGTGACAAACTATTTATGCATTAAGAATGAAATAGTTGGACCTACTTATGACAATAAATTGTAAGCCTGGTAATAATAAACAGCTTTATAAACTGAAGTAGGCCTAATTACAAATACAAACAATTGTATCGTAGAAACCCAACGGGTAGCCTAATCAATAAAGGGAACAGTAATCTGCTATAAAGGCTAGGCCTAAACTATGAAGAAATAAATATAGAAGGAAACTGTTGTCACTAATCCATTAATAAACACTCACGTTGATAAGATCGAGATCCCAGAATTTTTATCAAACACTACCTCTACGGCATTTTTTCCTCCTTAATCTTAAGGTCGATCCAAACTCCAACTCCAATCTAAGTTTCAAGTTGTTATTTTTGTATTCGTATTGTATAGTTCCATCCAATCCAACCAACAAATTTATCTTGAAACAGCTGAAATGCAAAGCAACAGCTGATTAAAATGCAAAGGTTGAGTGAAGCAACCTGTACCATGGCATAGATTAAAAAGACTCCTTTGTGCGTGGTTTTGGTTAATTTATAATCAAGGCAACAATAAATAAAAAAAGTTTATTTAGTGTTGCCTTACTATGATACGACACTCCGAAAATATTTATTCAATGAAAATATTTCTTCAACTTGAATGCATAACTTTGAAACAAAACATTTAAGCATACAATGAACCAGAGTAGGTAATTAATCTATCGTGATAAATTTAAATTAGTATCAACTAAAGTTCGACCAAAAGCACGGCCACCTTTAACTCCTGGTATAATTGGCAACGTCGCAAGTGGTTTTGTTTAGTGACAGACGTCCTATAAGATAACATGGCAGACAGGTGACATCAGCTCATTAATTCGCACTTTATTGATGTAAATTTATGAACATAAATTCATTAAAATATTGAAAACTAGCTGTACTCGCGGGCTTTGCCCCGCTTAACTTCATAAGTATTCGCATGGCTCAATCACATCCTGGTTGAAGTTCGTTCGCTACGCTCACTCACCTTCAGGTTGGAAATCGTTCGCTGCGCTCACTTGTTTTCAGGTTAGCTTGTTCGCTACGCTTACTCACCTCCAGGTTGATGTTCGTTCGCTACGCTCACTCACCTTTTGGTTGCAAATTAGCTGTTGTCATAAATTAAAAAAAAGACATCCCTTTTGTTGTTTATAATACTATGATAAAGGTTTTTATGTTTTTAATATTTAACATTGGAGAATTTAAACGTTGTTGAGTGCACAGGTGTGCTGCGATTGGGGTTTAATACATTTGGACTTATTCAAAAGTAAAATAGTTTTCTGTGCTGCACCACAGAAAACATACTACTATAACCACCGGTTATAGTAGTATGTTTTCTGTGGCTGCACTCTGTAGAAACACTGTGGCACTATTTCAAATCATGACTAGCTAATACAGAATGTGATCATTCAAACCTTCAAAACAGTTGGTGAATGTAAACATCTGCTTTTAAATTATATTTATTTGTAAACATTGTAGATCAAAAAGTCTGACATTGGCCCACTTAAAACCCTCTGGGGCAGAACGGCAGAACCATGGGCAGAACCCTTTTGACGGATCTGCACCTAACTTCACTCGAACCATCCTTGAAAGATGCTAAATAATGCCTGAAAGTTTCATTACAATCTGTCGAGCGGTTTCGGAGTCCATAACGTATATACACACATACACACACACATACATAGTTCCTCTTTTATAGATATCCCTAGTAGCACAAATATATATTAAATACATATGAATAAATATATTTAAAATCTATTTGATATATCTCAAGTGTGTATTAATGTCAATTTTATATAATATTTAAAACATATTAAATATATAAAAAATATGTTTTTGAATCTATTAAATATTAAAAAAATATGTTCCAATAATATATTTTAGTGAATAATATTTAAATAAAAAATTTATTTAATATAACTTCCAAACATCCTATGGGGCCTAAACATAAAAACACAGAATAATAAAGATTTAGTATGAAAAGCACAATTATCAGTTGTGTAAATTGATTATAAATAGTTCACTAAAACAAATTTTGAAAAAAAATTATTGGATAAATTTTTTTGGCCCGGACGGGTCTCGAACCTGGGTCCTCCTCCTTATGAGCCTCATACCTTACCTCTGAGCTATTTGTGACTGTTGGTAGGATTAGTTTTCAAATGATGAAAGAGTGGCCGTCAGTTGCAATGGTTGCAATACTTGAAATATCTTTGATACCGGTACTACAGTATAATATGATTCTGTTAACTATATGCGTATTTTTTTCTTTACGTGCATGATAGAGTGACACCATTCAGAGTATGTATTATTATTTAGTTAATTTTAACGCTTTCACAATGGCAATTATCATACAAAAAATGCATGTATAAATTGATAGACACTATAAAAAACAAAAACATGCTAATTATTTATTTGCTAATTATAATAGATTATAGGCTGTATATTCTACAAATATATTATTATTTTATTAATAAAAATATCTGACGTGTTTCAAAATATATTTATAAATACTTTAAATATATAATATAGTTTCAAAAATATTTTATATATATATTTAAAATATTCTCAACACAAATTTTTTTTAAATATTTAATAGGAAAAATATACATATAAAATATGTATATTATAGATTCTATACTTATTTTATCAATATATATTATTTATATATTTTATTCGAGGTTTTTTTTTAGGGAGAGGAGGGAAAATGCTTTTATGCACACAGGTAGCCAGCCTGTAGTGTGAGACTCCTGATTTGACAAACCAAACTTATTTCAAGCTTGAATCAAGTATTTTTTCAATTTATATTTAGATTAGATAGTTCAAGTGTTATTCAAATTAGATGTTTCAATTTTTATTCAAATTAGATATTTCAAGTTTTATTAAAATTGGATCTTTCAAGTTTTATTCAAACTGGAAGAGCGGGAACTTCGACGCATGATATTAACTTGAATCAAGTTTACGGACCCATCCGAGCAAACTTGATTCAAGTTTGCAGATTTGACAAATCAAACTTGTTTCAAGCTTTAATCAAGTATTTTTTGCTATCTGGGGAATCTATCATAGACTACTCACTAAAAAATCCCCTCTACTCTGTTGGACACAGAGCAACAATTGAACAATGTGAATTGTTTGTCACATTACTTCAAGTCAGGCCAACATGTGACCTATGCCCTCAGGGCTCTCACTGTTTTTGGCATTTAGATACTTTATGACGTACACCGCATCCCGGTCAAGGTCGAGCTTCTTGTCGCTGAGAATACCCTGGATGTAATGTGACACACAGGTCCAATTGTCCTCACCATCCGTCATCATCGGTATGATCGTGTCCACTGACAGCAGTCCTAATAACTGTTGAGCCTCCAGGCGGGGCCTTTCCCAACGCTGGCAGTGGAAAAAGGTATGTTCCACGTCATCGGGAATGCCTGGGCAGTATATGCAGTCGGGTGGCACAGCTTTGCCCATCCTGAACAGCTACGACCGGAAAAAGCCGTGACCCGTCAGAAATTGGGTGAGGTAGAAGTCCACCTCTCCGCACCGCCGATTAACCCAAGGTTGGACTTGCTGATCCCGCCAGCTAAGCTTGCTGTCCACCATAATCCCAAGGTACTTGGCAGAACGAACGGTCTGGACTTCGACGGCCCCTACCCTCAACGGCACGATGGTGTCAATCTTTTTTTTTTTTGTTAATATCACGATCTCAGTTTTGCTCAAAGCAAGCGAGAGACCGTGCTGGTCTGTCATCCATGCGTTTATAGTACGCATAACTCGGTTCAGCTTTAGCTGAGCCATCTCAACACTACGTGCAGCTATCAAAACTGCAACGTTCTATCAAATACAACTATATATAAAATATTTATAAAATACATATTTGTGCTACTAGGGATATATAAAACATGATAAAACATACAGAATTGAAACCCGAAACAATATGAATTAAAAATCTATATCTGTACATTTTAAGCTTCTGGTAACCGATCTTTCGTAAATACACAAATACCATTAGCTGCTTCCAAACAAAACAGCTGTTACAACACCACTTACGACGTTGCCACTTCGAAAGCCGCGGCCTGGAGTTAAAGGCGGCCGTGCATCAACTCATTGATTCGCTTATTATTGATTTAAATTTAAATTTATTAAAATATTTAAAATGAAATATACAGAATCGGAAAACCAAAACAATTATACCTTAATTGAAAATCAATATCCGTACATTTAAAGTGGAGTCAAATAGGTTCATATTAACATTTGACATTGGCATACTTTAGTCCAGTAACCAAGCTTTCATAAATAATACACAAATATACCATAGCTGCTTCCAAACAAAACAGCTGTTTCAACCACGGCCGAATTTAACTACAGGCCGCGGCCTGGTAAAATTGACAACGTCGCAAGTGGTGTTGTTTAGTATGTATCCTACCGAGAATTTTCATAGGAAGTCCCAAAGAAACCCCGTCAAATGCATTTGTTTGTGTGGGAAATGTGCAATATCCTAGAACGCGATCCTAGGGACATTCTCAAATCCTGGGATCTCTGTGGGATATGTGGAAACTGGTCAGGGTTTCCTGGGAATATCCTGTACTGTTTGGGTTTGCGTTCATTCCTAAACCATTTTGTAGATCTCCAAAAATACACAAATAATATTCAAACTTTGTTGTACCCCTATAGGGGTATATTAGTAAATTAGGGAGAAAATTCCATAAAACTGAAATTCATATTCTTTATTCTTAAGGCCGGTCTATACGCAAAGGATTTACCGTACGTTTTACCTGCGAAAGTAAATCATTGCAGTCAAATCATTGCGTGTGTACCACAAAACTGTGGATTTTTGAGAACTGTGCGGAGACGGAAGACTATTAATATAATTAATAAATAAAATATATTTATTTAATATAAAACTAAGGATAAAACTATTGCGGAGAGCATAGTTTTGACAACGTTTTCAGACAAGTCGTTGCGTGATGTGTACACTGTCATCCATTTCAACTCCATCTTAACGCTCAAACCCCCAGTATGCAGTTTTTGTCTTCTTGTGCTTTCAGAGGTATAAGTGGTTTTTTTTTATTACAATCGCAGATCTTCCCCAATGTTCCCGTGATTTTATTGTTGAATTCATCGAAATGTACAGAAGTGTTCCTTATGGAGGATCAAGAGAGTAAGGAACAGTGACTGTGATAAGAAAAAGACTTAAAGACTTTTGAAAAATACAAAGCAGTATATTTGAACGTGAACAGAGAAACTATTATGAAATTGGGTCTTTTTAGTAACCATCATCGTCGGCAACGTCTTGACCATAGTGAGGGCCATTGTCGCTCAGACTTATTCTTTGCTTTCTTGTAAAGCTT